GTTCGCACAGAAATTCCAGAACGCTCCAATCATTTCACAACACTAGAGACGAAATACACGTCCAACGGCCATGATATTGGCATCTGTGTGTAGCTGAATGGTCACTTGTTCGAAATATACGTCTTGCAACTTGGTACCACATACTTTACCCAGAATTATATGAGAAATCCTGCTCGAATTTGCCCCAAATTTCCCATGAAGCCGATTCGTAAATGGGATAAGTACCGGTACATGAGCAATGGCGGCGCATTGCATTCTGGGAGCAATTCTGCTGCAATTCTGCTCCCAGAATGCAATGCGCCGCCATTGCTCATGTACTTATCCCATTTACGAATTGGCTTCATGGGAAATTTGCAGCAAATTCGAGCAGGATTTCTCATATAATTCTGGGTAAATTATGTGGTACCAAGTTGCAAGACGTATATTTCGAACAAGTGACCATTCAGCTACACACAGATGCCAATATCATGGCCGTTGCACGTGTATTTCGTCTCTAGTGTTGTGAAATGATTGGAGCATTCTGGAATTTCTGTGTGGACGCTTTCTTACCTTCTCTATATCACTGTGTATTTGTGCATGCACAATGACGTGCGCGCTATGTGTTGCAGCGGTGTATTGGACGGTGTTGAAGTGAAGTTATTAGGTCAATCAAACATTATTACTGGTACTGGTAGGTCTAGTACTGACGCTCAAGGGGTCGTTGTCGTAACAGGTACTACAGATATGTACCCGAGGTACATATATGTATACACAAAGTGTACCAAACTTGCACTACAGAAGTGTACCCTAACCCTAACACTAACTCTAACCCTAACCCTAAACATACCTCATATAAAAATATAAACATAATAGTTTAATACTAAACAACCTAAAACTACCTCGAGTACATATCACCTGTAGTACCTGTTACGACAACGACCCTTCGTGCAGTACTGACAAGTTGTATTTATTAACCATCATTTTATTATTGAAACGGTCAAACTGCCTGTGCTAATACTGATGATAGCCAACTTGTTTCATTTACACTTTACAGTTCTAGTCTGGGAATGGTAGTACATCAAGTACACTACAGTGATTGTGCATATACTTCTAAATATAATTAATAACTGTTTATTATTATACATTTATAATAATTGTTCTATGAACTTATGAAGCCATAAATGAAGTTTAGATCAGACATCTCGTACTGGCATGCCCCAAAATAGGACGTTCACATCTCTCCCATAGGAGTAACAACTGTATGCAATTTGAAACGTTGGTCAAACGGGTCTCAAGTTATCGTTGACCGTAGCCAAATGTTGAAGGACAGACGGATGGAGGTATGACGGACAACGCACCATGGCAATAGCTCATCTTGACGATGTCAAGGTGAGCTCAAAATGAGCTGGCTGACTTTGTTACCTTCATCATCTCCTTGGACATAGCTTGCATGGTAGCATTAATCTCTGGAAGCTTTACCAATGCTTGCATGGAATTCATCACTTCCGTGCTTTTCTCTATGGTGCCGCTAATTTTAATAATGGCTGAAATAAATAATAAACTTGTACAAAAAACTAGCTAACCAGACAAAATGCCGGTATCCACATTATGACCATTAAATTTTATGTAAACACAACTAAGAACTATTGGAATAAGATAATAAATTTCATGATAATATTAAAAGTGTTGTTATTTAATGATAAATCCAAGTATATTGACATGTTAGCAACGCTGAGAGGGTCTATGTCCCCCAGGGTACTGCCGGAACCTACCCTGGTACCATCTAATATGCCGGACCGTACCTCGCCTACTCCACTAACGAGTCTAGGGAGTCGCCTATGCCTACTCCCTAACCCTTACCCTAACCATATCAGATAGTTACCAGGGTACGTTCCGGTATACTGGACCGTACCCAGGGTATGTTCCGGCAGTACCCTGGGGGACATAGACCCTATGAGCGTTAGCAACCATTTTGACAACTAAGCTAGTTGAATGAAGTTGCTCAAGATTGTCATCTACTGCCATCTGGTGACTGACAAAAGCAACTTTATTTAGCTTCACAAAGGCTACTAAACCAGTAACTGTTGTCAAAACTGTGGCTAAAAATTATTCTTATATAAAATTACTCTTAATATCTAAAACACATGTCTGTAAAGCTATCTAATTCTATATATTAAAAAATGTAAAATACTGAGACAATGCAAGATTGTGCGTATCAACCATGTGACAGCAAGTAAGCCAAGTTGAAATGTCCTTGCTTGTATCTTGTCAACATACCTAGTTGGCTTTTCATGCTCATTACAACTGAATTGATTTGAGCTTTTGATGCGTAGATCCTGTTCACAGCTTTCCGTGATCTTACTAGCTCTTTTGCCAATATCACACATACATCTTTATCTCCCTTCTTTGCTGCCTCTTTAAGTGAACGCTTAGCCTTTTGCTCTTCACGTTGGATACCTACAAGAACACTCAACAGTTGAATATATATGCTGGTAATCTAATGGTTCATAATTTATGAGCATTTATGTGGATATTACTCGTTTTTGTCCTTTAGGTGAGGAAGCATTCCAGGTTTCTTCTACATAAGAGGCACTACGGCGCACCGCCGTTGTCAAATTTAACAACGCTGTTGTGGAAATGTTCCTGTATTTACCCGCCATTGTCAAAATAGTGTCAACCCAAAAATATATAGATCACCACGTGTTTCTGACTATATACATGGAAAATCGTAATGAAATTCACAGCAATGTTTCTTTTTGCGTGCCGGCACACTCGTGTGTCATTCCCGATTGCAGCTTTTTCTTCGATTCCGGGAAAGTTTTGCTGTCTCTCCCTCATACCAGCGGTGCCCACCCCTACATATACAGCAATAAGCACGCCCACGCGACTGTAACAATCAGTGCATTTGCCCCCCCTCCCCGTATTTAGATCAGCGCCAAATGTGCACAGTGTGCGGGCTGGTTTGCGTGCGCATTCGGCGCGTGCGTTTAGCCATAGATGTGTTTATATATATCTATGGTTTAGCTCAGCGCCGAATGTGCACCGTGTGTGGGCTGGTTTGCATGCGCATTCGCCGCGTGCGTTTAGCTATAGATGTGTTTGAACACATCTATGGTTCAGCTCAGCGCCGTTGGCGCGCGCCAAATGTGCACCGTGTGCGGGCTGGTTTGCGTGCGCATTCGGCGCGTGCGTTCAGCGCCTAATGTGCACCGTGTGCGGGGGCCTTTACACAACTAGAAATTTTTAAGTTGTCCTATCGGGCAACTAGCAGACCTACCAAGTTTCATACATTTCGCGGGAGACTCACGCATCTGGACCCATACTCCCGCACTCCCTCCCGCATGCCCTAGCCATTCTCACACATTCACCAGTGTTGTAGGTCTCGAGGCCGGTTTCTTTGGTCTCGGCCTCGGCCTTGGCCTCGGAGTGCAATGACTCGGACTCGGGTCGAGGCCGGCTCAAGGCCACTACATAGTACATAACTGTACATATTGTAAACACGCAGTTTACAAGAATTTAGGCAAAGTTTCTTAATTCAACTAATACTGCAACATGGTTTCAGCATTTCACCGTTGTACGCTTTTGATACAATGAGTTATTCAGAATAGCTTAGAATGCACCAAATTGCACCATTTTTTTCCAAAATTTCCTGCGGAGCTCGCCCAGCTAGGTCCTCGAGACGCACAAACACGCCTTTTAATTCATTATGCGCGTTATTCCCCCAAACCGGCCATTACCTCCGTTGTCTAATTTCCCACCAGAAGAAACCCTGCATTCCTATATTTTTTTAGCCAAATTAAATAATAAATGTTACAAGTGTGTGTATTATTTATACCACGTATCTGACGATCTAGCTGTCTGCCCTCCTTCCTCAAATTTCTCGTCCATTCATCAACCTAAAAGCAAACCAGGTAAACTTGAATCAACATTGTGTTAAATTTAAAATGCATTCAGACACTTTGGTAAATGCTACTCGAGTCATACTACTACTATTGGTGCTATAAAGATAGGAGTAAATAAAAAACCATTTTACTCCTGATTATAGTCACATAATAATACTTTAATAGTGATACTGATACTCACAGGCACTTGGACCGTTTCAATAATAAAATGATGGTTAATAAATACAACTTGTCAGTACTAGACCGACCAGTACCACTACCAGTAATAATGTTTGATTTGACCTAATAACTTCACTTCAACACCGTCCAATACACCGCTGCAACACATAGCGCGCACGCCATTGTGCATGCACAAATACACAGTGATATAGAGAAGGTAAGAAAGCGTCCGCACAGAAATTCCAGAACGCTCCAATCTTTTCACAACACTTCAGCCGAAATACACGTCCAAACGCCATA